AACAGACTGTACAGGTACATATGCGGCATATATGAGTAGTTCTCATGAGGGATTTCCTGGATGTGTGCTGTGTACACCCATGGTTCCTACAGATGTGCCCTCATGAATCCACTTCCTGGACTCCATTCACACCTTGCCCCATCAAGTGCCACAGCATGGCCACATAAAGCAGTCCCATGCCCATTTTTATGAATGACAGCGACTGGGGCAGGATGAGTCATCCAGGCTGGATGGCTGTCCCCACTCTGCTGTGGGCAATTACATTAAATGGTTGCACAGTAGCCACTGTGTAAACCAACCATATTATTCTTTCACACCTGCCAGAATGGAGGGAAAAGGAAGGCGCACCTGTACACCACACACGTCTGAGTTGGAAGATTGATCAAAATTCTTGTCTCTTTGAACGGCTGTTTGATGCATGTGAGAAATCATGTGAGTACAGATTGAGGTTGAGGGGTTTTTCTTATTATGGATTGACATTTTCATCAACTATTAAAATCACTGAAGTCATTGCTGTTGCCCTAATGAATCTAATTCCTTTTTTTTTCTTTGCACGTGACTTGTTCTGTAAACAGGAATATTCTTATGGTCTGAGATGTGGCACTAGAATATTGTGCATTTGGACTATGCATAGTTTATGTCCAGTGTAGATTCTGGCTGCAATTGTACCTGTACTATTTTAATTTTCCTAGTGAAGGCACACCTTGAAATGAACCATGCAGGACTGAAATTTTTGAAAAAAAAAGGTACCGGTACATATACGGTACATTTGTTTTTTCAAATAATAATATTTAGATAATAGTACATACATGTGGGTATTAGTACATTTACCGGTACATTTTGTACACGTATTTAGGATGAGTCTCTGTACTGAAAGTCAAGTGCAAGATAAGTTCATCAGTGTCCAAGAGAGAAAAATCTTTAATTGCATCATTTGGTGACATTGGTTGACATGTTTTGTACATTTTCATGTACAAACATGCCGGTATACATGTACCATACATCAGCCTGGCTGTCATTATCACTGTACTGGTACTTGTACTGGTATAATGTATGTATGTATGTACATGTACATGTAAATGTAACATTGCACTGTACAAAAGTCATATCAAAACCTGTACTGTACTATATTCTGAGGTATCAATGAACTACATGGATATTTTGTGCATGATGTTCAACGCTGATCCCAAGTATACCGGTGCTTGTCAGAGTTCTGCCACTCGACGTGGGTGCCGTATCATGTAAAACCTTTTACATACTGTACATGTACATGTACATTGTAAATTATTTAGGTGGAGACAGACAAAAACATGTTTCTCCAGAGGGCATCCCAAGAAACCGCTTGTACACATGCATCATCAGAAACTGACAATACAAACGGAAGTGCACCTCCCCTTTTCTCAACTCTTTTTAAGGCATCGCCTAGGCTTATTCAAGTTTACATGCATGCATGGTACATGTACATGTACAGTACTAGTACATCACAAGATTTTATGCACTATTGCATGAACTGAGTGAGATGGAGACAGGAAAGGGTGTCTGTGGCATGTCGATTAAGACTTTCGATTAAGATCTTGATTAATATCCAAGGAGATGCCAGACAGACACCCATTGTACACAAGTTTATCATTTACCAGTATTTTAATTTCTTTTTCTCTCTTCGTCTTGTTCTTTGACGGTGAAAGACCATTAGTAATAGTGAGTCATCTCTGCTTGCTTACTGTGAGCAAATATCTGCTTGATTAATGGTTGCCATGGCTAGTAGGATTCATTTTCACCTACGCAATCTTGCATGCATCCATATGTACATATTCACATCATACCCGGCAGCCTGGACAGTCACATGGAAAGGAAAGACTGTGCTTTGAGCATACCGGTGTACTGTACATGTACATCTTGGACTGTATTAAATTTGTTCTTGCAGAAGAACAATAACAGGAGTACACTTTATCAGATACTGAATTGGGGTTTAAAGCTGTTTTTTATGAGGGCTTTAGTCATGGTGTCAGTTTGGGTGCCAGCTGTTCGTATAGCTTTAGTTCTTCTCCTGACTCCTTTATGAACTTGCGAAGCTTTACCTGCCAAATCTACCGATATGCATGTACCTGCATCTTTTTGAGTTAATTGCAATAACATTATACTGTACCGTATGTACACACAGTATATACACAGGTAAGCAATTAGTGAGGAGCCTTTGATATCATGAATGATTCACTCCAGTCTTCTCACCTGTGTCCTCACCTGTGTCATGCAACACTTGACTCAGAACATTCCAGAGCATCTGTAGTACATGTATACTTTTTCAGCTCACACTTTCCAGCTTAAAACTTTCCCTGCAACTGCTATGCAGATGTCTTTACAATTTTGAAATTTGCATAGGAATATAGTAATATCCTATCAGTGCAGTCAAAGGGGGCACTCAAGGCCCCCTCTCAGATGTGTTCTTCAACCACTTCTTTCCTTTTACTTCTAGTCTCAACTACTGGGTAGTTTTTTAATGCACGTAGTATTTTCATACATAAGCCAGAAAAACATGTACACTGTAGCATTATGAAACGCTATGTACATTACATGTACATGTTTTTGTGGTTTCACTGTCGTTTTGGGCAGTCCCCCTCTTGTACATGTATGTACATGTACATGTACATGTATGTACATGTACTAAGTACGTGATTTTGAATATGTGTGGCACTGTAGATCCAGCCCTGAGGCTGAACCTACCCGGTATTGTTCAGATTAAGAAAGTTTACTGTATGGAATGTCAAGTAAATAACCAGTTCTTCTGAGAGCTTTATAACTTATACATGTACAAAACACACAAGACAACGAGGTAATCATTTTCCTGTACATACATTTCACCATGCAGACCTTCACATTTAGTTTTGATTCTATTTCTACGACTTCTTTGTTTTTTTCAAATTCAGAAACCTGTAAAACCATTTTTTAATACAGGTAGGTCATGCAGAACCATCTTTGTACACTTGTACTAGTGATATTGCCACTTGAAGCTTCACTCCCAACATTTTTTGCAATTCTGTATTTACCTGTTTCCCAGAAGGTTTAGAAAAGTTAGTATGTGCACAAACCTATCACATGCACAAGCCAGATTCATTCTTTCTGTAGCCTTGTGTTTACACAATATACGGTACCGTTACATTATGTACTAAAATATTCCTCTGAATGCGGTCTTCTGTTTGATCTATTGAATGTACCGGTTACACTCAGCTAATTGTTAGCTGATGAAGAGGAACTTCACGGTGGAATGATCACACACTCGTCAATAATGCATTTAATTACCGGTATGTGGTTGAACTTGAATGACTCTTCAGGAAAAAGTTCACTGGGTATGGGTGACTGCTTTCTGACAAAAGCTTAGTTCCTGTACCCTCTAAATTAGATGGGGGTCTATGTACATGTACCTGTAACAGTAGTTGTATGGTATGTGTTGACAGGATTGTCAAACACTTTCATTGGGTACCGGTATACTTCACCATTTGTCTGCATAGTGAGTATTAATAATGTGTGTGCATTTTGTGGAAATGGCTGATGTTTGCATCTTAAGATTGCAATTTTTAACAGTGGTTAAACTAAGAATTTGTGTTGAGGTCAGTTGTATTCTGTCTCTTTAATTTGATTTGTTTCTAAACTAGTCACGTTTCAAGTTGGACAAAACCTGCCTGTGTACATGAACATTGTATTTCAGTTGTGGTTATGCTCTGTCTCTTTTGCAGCATGTAGCCGTTTGATGATTGACTTCAAGTGGGTGTTTCTTTGCGGCGTGTACCGATGGCCCCATAGTGGTTCTCTACAACTTCCTGTCCTTCCCATCCATATCAACGATAACCCACTGAATTGCAAAACCAGGGGAGTGATTTGTCTGCTCTGACTGAGAGGTAGGCAGATTCTGTCTTCGCTGTTCTTCAAAAGCTGTATTTGAAGTACCGTACATTGTACTGTACATGTACAAAGTGGTATTCAAAACAAAAGACAAAAGAAATAGAAAAACAACAGAAATATGGTTATGATGGTACAAATGCAGTTTTATGAAAGATCATTTGTGTTTAGACTTGAGGTCTGAAAAACCACGGTGATATTCCTGGAAAGTGTGGTGAATGCATACCAGCAGTGATAGTACTAGAATGTACAGGCTTGGCACACCTTCCCTCTTTTGTAAACAGTTTGAAAAAACTTCAGCAGTTGTTTGACACTGCCGTTTGGATACTGCGATGCAGCCTTTCTAGGGCCACCTTAATAGGATAGCAACTTGACAGTAATTAAGTTTGCTTTTTTGCAATCCTGCAGGGCTGTTGCTTAACTCTCTTTCTTGTCAACTTTTGAACATGTGTGTTTGTTTAGTTTGATTGTAACTTTTTATCAGCAAAAATTAATAAATGAAATGAAAATGAAATACATGTCGTACAATACATACTGTTATTATGGTGTGTTTGCACATTTTAAGTCATTCAGTTTCATGGGCATTCAAGGCTCCAGTTTCATCAGCCATAATTTCTGCTGAAGGACTTTCCATCTGTTTAGTGTTTTTATTTTCGATATATACATGTATGTACATGTACACTGTATACGCATGAAACGTTCCTTAGTACCATTATACACACATGCAAATTTTCTGTGAATCACATGATTTCCTCTCTCTTTTTTTTCACTTTTCATGATGTCATTAAAAATGTAAAATCACTGTCTGAATTGTGAGCATGGACTTCACCATTTACCGGTACCTCAAGACCCAGTTGGCTGTCAACATGAAAATTGAACCCAATCCACCAGCCAAGAATTTCCATAGGACTGAGTAACCACAGTCATAGTACACCTTCTTGTTTAGGGCGGGTCTGTCCTCAGGGTGCAGTAAACTGGTGTTGTTTGCACTCCTCACACCTTGACAATGAGGGTCATTGGAGGGCTAGACAAACAATAACAAGCCTCCTGTGTTGGGGGTGCATAATGCCACCTGACAGTTGACCAATAGGCTAGGGTTGTCCCTTGCACTACTCTGTAGTTTGTGGGTTTCTTTAATTTTTTTCTTTGATGAGGGAGTTGTGTATTTGGCACCTTCCTTTGTTGTTTGGTTGTAGCTGTCAGCAATAGGATTAGCGTTGATGGGGTGATTGATGTTGATGTTGAGAAAGTACAATGTGTTTTGGGGTCTACAAACTGAATCCACAGTCCAGTGTGGCTGAAATCTTCTGGTTGAAATGTGCTACACACACATGTACATACATTTTAAAACTTTGTTGGAACAGGATGTCAGAGAAATGCGGGCATGGTTGCATCATAGAATCCCAACACAAAACCCAACAAAATACACTTTCACACGTTGACATCTTTTTCCATTTAATAGTACATGTTCATATAATACACATCACATGAACATTTCATTTTCTGCTTCATGCAAGCTATTTGAAATACAACTAAAACTGCCAGATTTCTCAATCATTTCAGTTTCAGTGGTAACCTTCTGTGGCTTCATGGCCAGACCAGCGTACCAGTACGTGTACTGTAAAGTACATGTATTATGAATGCGCACTGTAATGTACTAGTATTGTGAATGCGCATGTAGGTACCGGTATCGTGTACATGTGCCCTAATGTCAAGTCCTCAGTTGTGTACATGTATCTGTAGCTGAGGCAGCTATCTTTTTTAAAACCATTTTAAAACTGGTGAGTCCCAGCTACACACTATATGTAACTGCCATACAAATGTACTGTTCATGTATTTGTATGAACATTAGTCTGGTAGTAGATTTTAATGACATTTAGAAATTTGGTGTCCAGCTTTGCACAGGATATCAATTTGCTGATGTAGTTTTGCACATGAACAGGTGCCTGTACTTGAATAACAAAGTGAGGCATCCAAAATGACCAGAAGACACCTCTCTGGCTAAAACCTTGGCACCATGGCATGAAGAATAAATACAACACAACACGAAAGGTGATTTATATGCAAGGATTTGTGAGGTACTATTTGGTTACTCATTTTGCAAATCAGGCAGGACATGAAATGCACTGCTTCATTGAAGGTCATTGTCACCTGAAATGAAAACCCCACTACCAGCAGACTCAAATTCAATAGATATAGGATAAAATACCAATACAGCAGATATCGATTCTGGGAACACCACCATTCAAATAACAAAGGGAGCAAACACACCTACCCACGGCAGTGTGCACACTGGCTCACCAATCAGCAAATTTTGAACTCTGTCAACTTCCGCTGTGTACATTTTGATTAGAGTGTGTCAATAATGTGTATGTCTGTGTGTGACAACATGTGTTTGATGAGATTGGTGTTGGAGTGAGTGATCACTTGCCAATAGCCTGGCATTGATGGAAGTTACATTTTAGTCCTTCAAGTTCAACCAATCATGTCATGTTAAGAACAAACTTTATAGTACTTTGATTTGTTGGACTTGGTACATGTACATGTAGTTGCTTCATTCCCTTGAAGCACATTCACATGCATCACCTGTTGCAGATTTGAATCGGTACTTCTTTATGGTACGGTAGTTACTGAACATTTAGTTTGTCTTCAGAAGCGAGCTTCCACATTGATCAAATTGATAACTTGCCAACTACCGGTATTGTACACACCTCCTGGTTCACCAAAAGATGTGAAGATACCATACCAGTATTAGCCATGCTACTGTTTGCCTGGCCAGTCACTGGTATGCAAGGACTTGTTTAAATGGGAAACTGGTGTGCTGTGTGTGAATTGCTACAACAACTGTTCGTCCAACAGGCAGGTGAACTTTATTTTGAGGTCATCAATTTCAGTCAAAAGGAGTACTGTAAGGTGTACTGTTACACTGCTGTCACTTGGAAAAAAACTCTGGCCTATAGTATGCACTGTACATGTATGCAGCGATATACTGGTACTTTGTGTAGACTCAGCTGAACAGCCCAGCAGGGTTCCATGGAATGCAGCCACATGAACTCATGACCAACCTGAAACTGATTTTTGATGCATGTTGCAGATTCCCAAGCATCGTTGCATGGTTGCATGGTTTAGACAACCTCTGATGGAAAGTGTATACTCGTTCAGACTTCAGTGAAAAAAGTCCTGGAGATACTGGTACTGTATGTGTCATAAAAATTGGTCCTGTCGTACTTCTAGGAATACTGGTACAGTTAAAAATTTTCACAAGGAAACTTTCAAAAGTACTTTTACTTGTGAAAGTACAGGTAGAAGTCCATTCACTGCCGCAGCATGCTTGTTGTTAGTTCCAGCATTACGTGTATGTTTATTGTCTGACTTACCAGTAGTGTACTTTCTATGAATATCACAGATGTTCTGAAATTTAGGCAAAACTTTTGCCTGTGCACAAGCTGCAGTGGTAATCAGTTTTGAATGGCACTCCATCAGATGGATTAACTGAAACTCAGTCCCAAGTCCTCAGGCAGTTGACTTGTTAAGCAACCAGCCTACTGGTGCTGCATGTTTACTGCAAGTTTCAGTGAGACAATCAGCTGGTGGACTTTTGCTGGAGCCTGCATCATTTGTACTCTTTTGGCCGAAAGCAATTTAAGGAGAAATTGTGAAGAGAACTGGATCCACATTGTCGACCAGGTTCACATAAGGTCAGCCGTCTCCCTTTGACTGGAGTTCCCCAGTTTCCGTGACTGTGTTTGCACAGCCATCAACCCCAAAGTTTCAACAAGTTTCAAAGTACGTCACTGTGCCAACAATCATCCGGTGGTATCGTCTGTGATGTAAATGAGATCAGCCAGTAAATATCATCATTCTTGTATACTGTGGGTACCTACATGTACTAGTACCCTGTACATGTACATGTACTAGTACATCATAGTCTGCCGTACTGTACCGGTAGCTTTGGGTTTGCTGCAGGACTCTGGCAACTTGGAACTCCGGTGCTGCTGGTTTAGATTCGTTGGTTCAATCAGGAGACCAGTTCTTGATTTTTTTTTAAGCCAAGCTGATGTACGGCATGGAGAGACCAGGATACCATCGTTCGAATACCTGGTCCTATGCCAGCTATGCTCCTAGTTCACACAGGGCAACAGGTATGTACGCAAATTGTGTACATGTACATGTACATGGTGAACTTCGTTATTCAGGGGGTCTTTATTTTATCCGAGAACAATAATTTGGTTTTAGAGTCCTTGTACTGGTACATGTACATTTGTGTATAATGTACTACTATATTGATAAATGCCTTTTTAAATAAATTCATATGCAAACCTCAGAAGGTACTTTACATGTACAAATACATAAGTACATGTACATCAATGATAATACTTTGTGCTTGAAACCTGCATAGTTTGAAATGACTGGTCGCTTTGTCATGGTACATGTGCCTTGATTTTTTTGTGGTTTTTTTTCTAGTGAATTGAGTTTTAGGGTTACAGAAATACGGTAAAAATTAAAATGAATTCTGACATGTTTTGTAATCTGCGTTTGTTTGCCATACTAGTACCTACCAGTAGTCAAGTTGTAGATTTTATCTCTGTCATTCACACTTAATCTTGCTTGTATATAATTAAATTCTTCTGCCAAGATGTTGTGGTACAGTACCAATCATGATACTGGTATAAAAGTCTTCCTCACCTCAAGAAAGCTTACAGGAATGTCATGGTTTATGCATACACTTGCAGAACATACCGTGGATGAAAATTAGATTCAGTTACATGTAGATTGAATACGAGTACTTGCTGCATTTTCATGATGTCTGCCCCAATATCTGTTCTGATAGCTCTCTGAGATAACCATATAAGGTATGGACATGTATGCATCATCTGGCAATCACCAAAAACAACATTGCTAGAATCCTGAATTAACTTGTAAAAACAAACAGTATAATCATTGTGCTTACGATAGTAATGATGACAGCCAGTTAATATTTTTACATCTCAGTACCCCCTCTGTTAGGACTGTCTAAACGTGGTGAAAAAATAAGTCACAGTTATCCATCATTGGCATAATAGGGTTTGAGGTACAACAGATTAGGGTAAGAACATTTTTTTTTTACCTCCCGCATGAGTGGGTGTGGCCTCTAAACATATCTTGTCCTCAGTTTACTGCTGCAGCTGTCTGATGTGGCTTTGGCATCCATTAAACTTTTGGACTGTTTTGATGAATGGCCCCAAATGTGGAGTGGTTTGCAGCTTTTCATTGGTTGGAATGCGTTCCAGTAATGCACCAGACATTCCACTGGATTGCCCAGAAAATCGGCAGCCAAGCGTAACCCGCTGTGCCTTCAAACTAAGTCCCTGTGGACACAGAAATATCTGTCCCAAACATGATTGATATTGACAAAGCCAGAAACTGACTGTGGATGAGTTGATAGATGTTTGTTATCTTTGGATATGGTTAATGCATATTTTTACCAACTCATCAGTCTGTATTCTGGTGTAATTTGTATAATACCAGTATGACTCTGTGCACATAATCTACAAGTACAGTGTACACACATATACCATGTAGGGCTCGAGTTGTAAATTAATGACTTGACCACACAGCAGAAAGCACCCCCCTCCCACATTCACATATTCAACCAAAAGTTTGGCATCTGCACCCAAGTTTTTGTGTGGGAACTGATTAGACACCGGTGGTATGTGGTGCCACCTCATTCCTCTGCAAAAGATGGCCGCATTTTACACTTGACGATTCTTGTGGTTTTCGGCAAGAATGAGTTTGTTCCAGGAAAGAGGTATTTATTCAGACATACGGCCATTTGAGCTTTAATGTTATCCTAATTGATTGAATTTGGGCTGCATTGGTGGGTGTTGGTTTAAATTGAGTTTCAGCCTCCATTGTGAAAGTTAAGGCCTGGTGACAGTATAACTAAAATTGGATTTAACCCTGCGAACTTTCACGTACTGGTACACATACTTTTCACTATTATCACTGAAAGTTTTTATGGCTCAGCATGGGACATGATTCACAAATGGTTCGTAAACATGACAAGAGCACCATAAATATTAACAAACCACTTCCCTTTTATGACTACCCTGTAAACTGGCACACTAATTGCCCCTGTGCGTCTGCTAATGGGATCAATGGGATCATGTTCCTGTCTCCATTCCGAGTATGTGCACTGGAGTCACGACCCAGACCTCACTCTTTGAAGTTCAAGTATTAAGATCTTACTCGGGCTGAAACAAGAGAATGTGAGACTCACAGGGATCAGTGCTCTGTGCTTCATTTATTCCCAGCTGAAGATTTATCGCAGTTGAGATACATGCAGGTTTTTTTCAAAACTTGAGCAGGGGGTTGTTGTAAAAAGAGTGTGCCCACTTAGATCAGGAAGTGGCATTGGTGAATTTGTATTCACAGGGAAGGGAGGAGCTGTTCAAAGTGATCCTTGTGCTACAGAATGCTATGTTAGTAATCCAGCCAAATTCCACTGTACCGGTATATATTCAACAATCATGGTCAATTTCAGTTGCGTTTTGCAGACCCTAATAATATGTTGGTTCGGTTGTGTTCAACAAGCAAACACTCTGAGATTATTTACCTTATCCTCTCAGAGCCTTCAAAGCATCTACAGTGCAAAGATTTTTGGCAAGATTGTTCAGCATTTGGAAAGCTTCTGTAGGCCTACTTGTACACCCAGCCACTGTTACTGAACACAGGCTTCATCCATGAGACCATGCGCGTTCGGTAGTGTGGCAGTTGGGTTTCGTCACAGTGTTGGATTTTGAAGGCTGTGGGAAGGAGTGTTGCAGTTCTGAATGTCAAAGGAGCCTGAGAGCTAATGACAAAAAAAACTTGCCAAAATGGATGTTTGATTTTCTTCACACTGAGTTGACTGCCAGGATGATACAGTGGTCAACGACACGGATTTGGTTCTATACATTATTTACTCATGTGTCTGCACTTATTAAGGTCTAGGTTTTACCTGTTCAAAAGTGCTACCATGTACTTGTACCTGTACAATCCTCGTTAAATTGAGCACATGTATATTATTTGGTGAGCATGATAATGTGGTACATGTACACTGCACGGTCTCTTTTCTTTTCTTTTTTTTTTTTCTCAGTTTCTGTGCATTCATTCTTGTATTCTGTCGCCAGATCGTTGGTTCATTGCTACATGTACAATTACTGTATCTTTGCTGGTGAGTCTTCCCATCTCTGCATGCATTGATTCTCTCCAACAGCCAGCTGCTCAAGGCTGCTCCTTCTTTTTGTAGCCCAGAGGAGGGGAATATCTCCTGGATGATGCAGATTACCACTGCCAATATATCCAGCCACGGGTGGCCACTATCACATTACACTTACTGGCATACATGTACATGTAGCTCCTGACCATCACCATGAGTGGCCATATCAAGTGTGATGGAATGCTGTGATAGATGTTGTGACAGCATGCAAACTGAATCATCCAAATATTATTACAGTGATTGCTCCCTACACTTGTGATAACATACTGATCATATGGCAATAATGTAAATACAATTTTCTCGTAGAGATTAATGGTCATATTCATACATCATTCCCTCTAGAAATTCCAAAGATTAATCATCATACAGCTTCCCCTGTAAAAAAAATCAAAGATACAACAAATTTTGTTTGAAAATTCAGTGAAAAGGTTTGTGGTACCAGTAGCATTTTGTGAGTACCAACGGTTCTCTGAAGAGAACTAGAGGGTACTCAACGTTTCAGACAGTAAGCTCTGTCTGTCGATAGGAGGCAGTCTCCAGGTGATGCACAAAGCATACCCCCGGTACTGTCCAAATTGTTGAGTGCCCTACGCGCAAACCTTTTTATTTAAATTAACACCTTCACCATGAGCTCAGAACTCACATTATTGTGGTGTGGAAGCTAGTTTTCAACAGAGATGTACATGTATTGTACATGTACATGTACATGTAACTGCACACATGTACATGTACATGGACGTGCAGTGGTTCTGTGGAAATCTGAGTTTGTTTGGTGAAAACAAGCAACATTTTCCAAGCTTGCAATAAATTCAGAGGCTGTAAATTTAATCTTTTTTATTACATGTACCAGTACAATTTATTCACTGATTTGGTCAAGAAGTCATACATGTACACGTACAGCACTCCATTTTACCTTAAGTGGTACCGGTATACATGTACAAGTTACATTTACATTGCTGTCAATCCAGAACTCTGACATTCTGGTACATGTACCAGTACATATAAAAATCCTTTTCTTGCTCAGTTATGCTTGACTTAACAGTATTATGATATCGTTTCCTCAAGAGGCTAATATACATGTGTGTAAAGACCAAGAGAACACTCCCCTATGTTGACAAATACATCTGCCGTACATTGCTCGGAATGTACATGTATCAGAAATACACAGCAATCAGGACCCCAAACAAGCATGCATTGTGTGACGGGACTGCAGTTTTTAGTTTAAGTTTCCAAAGGGGCACACGTACGTACACATATGTACATTATACACATACCGCTTTGCAATGAACACACTCACATCATCTCCCTAGGCAATGCACATGATGTTTTGGGGTTCCTGCATTCATTGGCATTGATTGACATTTGCTGAAACTCGCTGCCCGTAAGAATTTTCCCAAATGCCAGCTATCAGATTACCTGGGGATGAATGCTTTTAGACATTCAAATAACAAGACAGGCATCTACCGGTATTTGCTGCTGTTCTATCCTACAACTGAAATATTCATGTGCAGAAGATGGCCTGTGGCGTGCAGTTCTCATGAATCTTACAGTAGGCCATTTGCATTCATGAATTTTTCCTCTACACAATTGCATCGTAATTTTGAATTGGAAATTTTATTTGTGTGTATACATTGTACATGAATACGTAAATATTCCGGAGTTTTTACATGTACCCGGTACATAAAGAATACATGTGTAGTTACTGGAAAGTACAGTTTCTGGATACATTTTTAAATGCATTTCAGTGCTACACGTACCGGTACCTGTACATTGTACATGATGTACAGTACACGGATGCATTTATCTAAAACACAGCATCAGTTCAAGCATAGCTGTCAACTGTAAGTTTTATCTCATTTTTATGTAAGGTTTATCTCATTCCTGAAGATGTTCTGAATAAAGAACGAAATGTTGAATCAAACATGGCTTTCATTAGTCTTTATGGAGTCTGCATAATATTGAGTTATTTGTAAGTTTTATGGAGGAGTGAAACAGCGCCCTCATCAAGTTGTCTGCATAGCCAAACTTTACTCAGTTGTGGATGTATGAATTAAAGTCTTCTAAATACCGGTAAGAAAAATAAAATACCGTAGGCCCTGTACTGTACATGTTATTACAGGGATTCTGAGCAATCAATGTAAATTAATTTCTTGTCTTTATCACGTAAAACTTAAACAAGTGAAATGTAGTACATGTTGGTACATGTGTGGTCTTTTCTGGATGAGATCCTGCTGAATAAGCTCTCATCAAAGGACTAATCTGGTTCCCCTCAGGGTACCATCTGAGATTACTGTTCATCAGTTGACATATGTGTAAATCACTCGGTAATAAACACCCATCTGTCTCATTTGTTCAATTTAAACACAGGCCACTCACCCGCCAAGATGGCATTCCATCTGACCGTTGAGCATTGGCTGAAAGCCCTGGAGCTGGAGGAGTACTTTCCGTTGTTCCAACATTACCAAGCCGTTGAGGTGAGTTCTGTTTGGAAGAACATAATTTTTCATTTGACCAACCCCTCTCTTATTTTTTCTCTTTTTTTGGGGGGAGGGGACAATACCAGCGGTACCACAGAATGTGCCTCTAGCCTGAAGTGTCCTTCATCCTCTTTACTTGTACATGTACTCTGATTTTAGAGGTCTTGGCTACCAAGCCAATTTGTACACAGTCAATTTCTATCTGGTCTCTTCATTTCCAAATTTTTGTCTGCCCTTTTCCCAAGTTATTTCTAGTCAAACATATTTTCCAATAACATCTTCAGCCAGAGCCCTTTCTAATTGTAAACTAATGCAGAATTTTGTACATGTATGATACTGGTATCAGGGTACATGTACAGTACCGGTATGTAAATGTTGTTACCAGCTTTATACCAGTGTACTGGTACATGTAACTGCTGCTTTAAGCTTCATGAATTGCATTTGGACTAACAGTCCCATCTCTGTAATCCTTTACCTAAACAATCAGTGCACACACAAATTGGCATGAATGGGCCTCTCCATTGCATTGGCCAGTCTTCCAGTACATGCACATTGGTGTACAGACTTATGTGTGTTTTGTTCCATGGGAGAATACACAGGCAGTTGACCAGTCTTTTGTTAATCCATTGTGAATTGCTATTATCCCTGGAGAATGGAATCCCCTTCCCTACAGTGTTTTGTTGTGTTTTAAGTGACATCACCCTGTGACGTGGGTGTTAGTATATTGTGAAACTTCACCCAACATGCCATGTCATGCATACACCTACTGGTACGTATCTTTTAATCAGAGCAAAAAGATGGTCATTTGTTGGTTGTGTCTGAAAAAGTTGGTGTCACTGCATACTCTTACATGACAACAACACTGCACCCTACATGTACATGTACATGTATGTCATGTCCAGAAAGAACGGTACAAGTACACTTGCCAGAATGCAGTATTTATATGTACCGGTACATGTACATGTGTATTCATTTGTGAAAGTTTTGCTTCGAAATCACAGTAAAAGGACTCCAGATAGCGTTACATGCAAACCCACATGTGGTCACACATGCTACTTGCAGAATCATTGGCTCTATGTTCTTCCTCTCTCACTCAGAAAAGCAGATCGAGAAGCCCTAAACAAGTTGTATGGGTGCCAGTAGGCCTACAGTACATGCATACAGTACTGCAATTATTAAACCGTAAATGTCTGTGGATGACCTTTTTAAAAATTAAAAAAAGTAGGATGAATTCTTACTATTCCTCGTGTGAAAGCTACCGGTAAGTGGGCCTGTTTCCACCCATTTGAAGCAGATTTTTTTCTCAATATCATTGGAAAAATGAACACTGCACAATGTACTGGTATTGCTTTGATGGACAGCAGTGTACCCAGTAGCTCCAGTTGTGTGTGGATTCAGTCCTCAGTTTCAGAGTTGTACAAAGCCTTCAAGTACACACATGTACCTGAACATTTATCGCGTATTTCAGAGGATTCATCCAACTTTTCAGTTGTCAGGCAGTGTACTGGTACACCCCCTGCCCCTGTCAATTATCCAGTATATTATACTCTGAGCCTTGGAATGTACCCTTTACTGTGTGTTGAAAAAGCCAGACATGTACAACATTATGTGTCTGTCGTCATTTGCACTGTGTATCCACTGAAGCAAGAGAAATTAGGGATTATAGAATTCCTGTCTGCTCTCTCCATGACAGAACCTGCTACACCTGTCAGAGAGGCACATTTCTGAGTTGGGGGTGACAAACTCTGCCCACCGGGCACGGCTGGCATCCAACCTGGTCTACATCAGGGAGAAACTCAAGCGAACAAGCATCACAGGTTAGTTGTGAACAACATTCACCATAATTCCCACGGTGCATGCACTAGTTGTATGTGTTTTTTCTTCACCAAGCTGATATCATAAATGCACTGTTTTCCCGGGCGGTGTTGAAACTGAGAGTTACAGTTGAGTTTAAGAATGAGTCTGCTCCAGGTTGTGACTGTAATTGGGTTTAATTAAAATGACTTGTACCCGTCCATCACTCAAAATGTCACACATTGTCACCATTGTCTATGTCATCTTTCTGAAAGAAACACACCAACCAAGAGTTTTATTGTTGATGTTTACAATAATGTGCTCTTTCACAAAAAAGGGACAGAGACATGTGTACGATAGCATTGTACAGGGTAATGGACTGGTAGTTTGTGGGAATGGGCAACAAAATGCTTTAAATGTGGCTGTTTTTTTTTTTTTTTACAAAAGTACGGAAGCAGGTACACAGTTCCAACAAAACCAGCAAAAGCACACTCATATTTTTTACATTCACACTCATTGTGTACTTACGAGCACTTATTTTATTCCCTGATTCGAAACAGTGCAAGAACTGTTTGATATCTCAGAGCTTAGTAGAATTCTTGAACTTGACTGATTAGTAGATCGAATCTGAAAGCACCAATTATGAGAAAAATGTGGAAAAATCATTGTATGTCCATGTATAAGTGTGATTTTTTTTTTCCACCCCTCTCCAACATTCCTGTGCTGAAACCATCAGGGTGATTGGACAGAAGTGAATTATTGCTCCATTAGTTTGCATTAACATGGAACTGAGCAAGTGCATCATAAATATTTGCAGGTCATCAAAATTCTGCACTTTGTCCACAGGAAAGCCCAGAGGAATTTCAAAATTGAGTCTTGCCATTGGCTTCAACTACTGTGTAATGCAAGTTTTAAAAATAGATGTTTGGAATAAACCTTGATCACTTTTCCAATTGGTGTCCCATGTGAAATCCAAGAATGTGTAGTTATTTTAAAACTTGTTATGATAATACTGACAGGTAATGACGAGGGAAAATACATACTTTACTCCAGCATTTCATCATGACATCATAGAAATTCAGCGTGGTATCATTAGCCAAGGACATTTTGGAAGGTTTCAGTTTTGGGGGGAGGGGTTCAAATGATTATCAAGTGTTGATTATATTTTACATTTTCTTAATAGAGTGCATAATAACATGGACACAATTGAAGGATTTTTGAAGAACAATCAAACATCAGGGTGAAGAAGCTGGAAAATTTTCTCTGAAAAGAATCCATAGGAACAAATTTTCAGCAAAACTGAGGAAGGTTCAGTGGAAGTGAGTTTGAGTGATCCCTTGTGCTCGTTTTCTGATGAGGGCGGCATTGTAATTGGACACTGGAACATTCTCCCATCATTACCTTATTTTTCTGAATAAAAAAAGGTGTCACCAGTCAAACTGTGTAATGTAAGGTGATCTAGCCCTCACATTGTTCATCGATAGTAATTTAATACTGGTACTAGAATACACATTGTACCTGTATGTTAAGGAATTTGACAGTGGAAATAGCCAATGTGACGCTGACATTGACAAGATAACAAACAGATGATGGCAGAGCTTTTTGTGCCTCTTGTCACTCTCTCCATTGTGCACCCAACAGTTCCACACCTCAAGTCAGCAGTTCTCAAGCGAGCATAAAGACTACCAGTATAGGCCAGTCTTAACACTGGTAGCTTGTCATTCCTGGAATAACTCAGTCCTGAGCGGCACATTGATTTTTACAGTGGACTGCGTTTTGTCATTGTCAGACACATCCTTGACAACTTCTGACATTGTAAACTATGGAGCACATCTAGAGGAATGCAGATAGAAGTCGCATTCTCCACTGTGGTGATTGGGGCCCAATTTATTCCTTTTAAGTTCTTCCAGATGGATGGAGGGAGGGCGTGACATCTGTCATGCAGTGATTGTACATGTACGTGACATGTAATTCATAAGATCTGAGGGCCTACCAGGTTTGGCGGCAAAACTGCTTGGCCCATACCATGGCCATACAAACTACTTGTAGCCCTCCAGCATAAAAAATGCACACGGTGGAAGCTAGTTTACCCATGCTGCTGTGTCTGCCAGTACACTATGTAAGGTTTACCTGCCCGTAATTAAACTCATTGAGCCTTGGAGGCCTTTTGCTCGTTAGAGAATTAATAGTGGCATACATGTACATGTACAATACATGTAGGTGCTTATGGTAATTCAGTTTTCCTAATGTAGAAATGAGACATGCACAAAAGGTTGATACAGTATCAAAGTTGGAAGTCCCAATCAAATATTTGCCTCAGTACAGAGTGGTAAATTCCCAACATCTTTTATACATTAGCTTCAGGGAATACAGCTTGGCTGCATACAGTCTGTGTTGATACGCTCTTTACATTGATACTCAAAAAGATTTGTCTCCAGCAGTTTTAATATCCCATTACAACCAATGGCCAATACATGTACCTTATATGGCCAGTAATGAAATTCGATTGATGTAACCCATGCCAGTTATCAGCCTGTAATGTGCTTCTAGTATCCGGAATAGAGAGTTTATTGGTAGGGCAATATCATCCATGCAAGGTGCATGGGTACACCTGCATGCAAGTACACAACCGTACTTGTACTGCCTGTGGTTAGCCACAGTGTTATATTTCTTTGGGTGGTTGCTACCCGGTAGTCTGCAAGGATGACAAAAATACATGTTTGTGTGTTGACCTTTTAACAAAGACCATCTCTGACATGTTGGGTCTCAAGGTGAAAGACAGTTCCAGGTTACATTTTCCCCTGTAAACAAGCTTGTGAAATGAAAAGAATACAGTACATGAATAAACGTATGAAATCAAATACCGATGTTAATTGTTCCTGTGATTTTTGTGTTTTGCAGGAGGCCCGTTGACCACTCTGACTCAACCTAGACAGAGATCATCCATAGCTGGTTCCCCTTATGGGTCACCGGCTCCATCCCCATCCATAAAGGCTTCCTTCCGTTACAGGTGAGGAGATCACTTGTGAGAAACAAGTGAACGTTGCATATAAGCAATGATCAAGCTGTGTATCCCAGTGGCTGACTGCAGCTTGATGCCCGGAACAAAGAAAATGGAAAAATGTTATTAAATCCACAAATATACCAGTACATGAACGGTTTTATTCCATTTAATAAAATTACATGTGTACAGTGTTCCCTTTATCTGGTTTTAAGGGTGTTAACGTCTTGCACTATACACAGTTATGTGTGTACTCTGAAGTAACATCTCCCAGAACACACACGAAAAAATAAGTCAGGCATGACAGATTTTGCCTTGTAAGTTGTATGGCATCACAGAGGGGTTTTAGCTTTTGTAGGGTTTTCATCAGGACCTTTATCCCACCCCAGACGTGTGTTTATGCAGAAATAACAGGAAGTACACCAGTGTGAAGTTGGCTGATATGCGACTTAGATTCATTCATGCAATACATTTCATTTGTGCCGCAACACATGGATCACTAAAGTCATCAAACAAGTGTCAACTTCCCACTGCATCCCTGTGGCATGACTCACAGCATGTTAGGCAATCCCTCATCTCAAAACACCCCTTACAATCACAGAGTGATCTGATCCAAAAGTTTACTATTCAGTCAGTCCTGTGTGTGTCCTCAGCCTTGGTTCAGGGAGGTACCACTATGGAGTAGGGTAGATGTACATGTACATGTAAGAAAAATAAAGTATATTAAGGTCATGGTTACCCCAGCAAGGGGTCTTTTGACTAATACCCCTGAAGCTAGTTCATAAATTGGCAGTTATGCTTTGGTTTTACTTTCACTGTCAGCGGTTGGGTGGGGATGTATAATCTTGTAACTCTGTTTTTGAGCTGGGCACTGTGAGTTAGAACAGTAGCACACTTAGCTGTAAAGTACTTCGGCTGCTGAAGTCCAACAAGTTTAGTGTCCTGTCAGTGGTAAGAAAGACAAAGCTTTTTTTCTCTATCCAATAACCTAAGTTTTTATCATTAGTTTGATTAATTTCCTACATTAGGTTTTGCCTCGTCATTCAGTTGGATTGGATGGTCTTTGCTGTGAGGAAGGATTGCTTTGAACTGTCTCCATGTTTGCTGTGTCTCTGTTGGTTTTTCATTTGGTGTGTGTTCAAAAATGAAGCCTGATTTAATGTAAATATTTCAAGGAATGGAGTCATGTCCATTTGTTAGTGTAACTATGCATAAATACATTTACCGGTACACTGGAAACTTTTGGAATACTAAGAATTACAAGATAAATGCATTTCTACATGTGTACTTGCACCCTCCAACAAAGAGCAGGGTTGTTTACTTTCTAAGTTGATTTTTTTCGTTAACCTTTCCCTGTATTTGCTGTCCCAGCCCTTTAGTTTCAGATTTTATGCATACAGTGTAGGCCTATGCTTTTGCACCTGTACTCTTAGTATTAAGATGGCCTCAGTTTGAGAGAGCAAACTCATGTGCATGTACATGTAGGAAGTGTTCCCGAGTGACTGTCATATATGTATCTAGAATGATCAGGAATTTGTCTATTGAAGGACGAATATTGTTGATACACTTGACAACGCAACAGCCTTGCAGTAAATGCAGGAAGTGAAGCAGTTCCGATTTCCAGTTGCAGAGTTTGGACTTCCAAACCACCTGTGTAACTAACCACCGATATGAAATATTTCCCTCAGATCATGAAATGGCAGCAGGATTGTTACTTGTTTCGAAAGAGGCAGTCTTTGTTGTGTTGTATTGATGTCAGTTGTCAAGGCTGTTTCATGCGTGATAATAATCTGTGGGTGTTCCGGTCAGCAATGGTAATTTTTCCGGGTCGGCCTGTGAAATATATATCTGTAAATAAAACTGGCTGGGACAAAAGTTCCACTGGTGTGTGAAAAACATGACTGATCACTGTGAGTTGGCTGTGGAATTTATAGTATTTGCCAAGTTTTATTTGTAATTGTGCTATTTCAGTGAGTATCAACTTTCAAACAAGTAAGTTGGTTAGTAGTTCAGCACTTTTACAAAGAATCTTTGGTGAAAAAATCTTTCATTGTTGGTGAGTTTCACATGTCTCATATCTAGTCAGACTTTTCCAGCTGTGTTCTCGTACTTCAAGTTACACAACTTTGTCACCACTGAACTGAATGAGGTACATCATGGGAGAAAAACAGTGATGAAAATAAGTCTAAAATACCTACATATTTTTGGCTCCTGGCCTTGTCAAGAAAACATTTTTTTTCTGTTTCAAAGTCTATACATGTACGTGCTAATGAATTGTCAAAGACTGCAAATCTCCTATGTATTGAAGTCCTATATTACATCCTGGCATGTTTTTCGAACTACATGTAATCAAGTTTTGTTTTTCTTCTCTTGTTTTCAGCACTATTCCTGAAGGGGTAACTCCCGAGGTAGGTTTATTTTCTTTTCAGTTTGTATGACTGAAAATTCCCCTTTCCGATGTTATACAAGCACTGTAGACCTATGTGTACAATATCCAGTAAACAGTAGATTTTTTTTTTTCAGCCAATTGAGAGAGAGTCAGTACAGTACTTGCATAAATCCATTTCATCTGATTGGTGGATCATTAATCGCATAGAACATCATTTCACTTGCTTGGTTCCCGCCCCCATTTCACATATTTCATTCAGAGTAAGAAAGAGGAAAGTAGTGCAGGGACAGGAACCAGGCGAACATTTCACGAAACTACCAGTGGGTGGTGCTTAAGACAAGAATCTGTTTATCAAAGTAGCGGATGTAATATGCGATGACCGTTAATTTTTTCTTCAAAGAGAAGTGGACTTATACAGGTACTGTATATAACAACTAATGAATGTTTCATATTCGCGCAGTGGTAAGAATAATCTCATTGAGTGACAAATGAAACGTTCTATTCCACACGGCTTTGCCTCGTGGAATAGAGTATTTCATCTGTTACCTCGTGAATTGTTCTTACCCTTTGCACCCATAAACATTCATAATTTGTATACTAATGTTCCTTGGATTATGTCTTCAACATTTCAGACAACCTTTTGGTGATATTTTACTGATTCTGTAGACATTTTGTAATCAGGAGTATCTGTCAGTCCCAAAGAGCTCAGTGATTGAAATAAATGAAATGTGAAAAGACTCACTGAATTTCCTTATCTTCCTTTGCATGTATATTCACTTAATTTAGATTTCTAAGAATAACTCCTTTGATGGTGATTTCTTTTGCGGACTTATCGGGACTAAATGCTTTTCACTTAAAATTATTTGTCACTCTTCTTTAAATTTGCCAGTCCAAAATTTCACCTACATACAGATGCACTTCTCTAAATACAGCTGAACCGCACATCACATAGCTACCAGTAAGCTGGGGGTCAGGATCCCTGCTGTGTCATGCTTGCCATTTGACTTGTGGCACCTCACATTTTGAACATGGAAAAAGTTGTTTTTTAGCAGCTTTTTTTTCTTGAAATTAAATCATCTTCATTAGTAAAAGTGTTTTTTTGAATATTTGGGAAAATTGGCAAATCAAGAAGAAATGCTTTCTCTAATTTTTGGTATGGGCAGCAACTGATGCGATTCTAATCATTGAGTTTAGTAAAGATTTATAGAGAAAATTTGTTTTTACCTGTTTGTACTTTCTCTATCCTGCAGTTACCGACATCTCCAAAAACTTTCAAAATGGATTATCATGACACCTCACCCGAGGATCTACGCAAAGAACTGGAATCAGAACTGAAACTACCAAATGATGATATCCGGAGTCACGCCTGGTTCCACGGTGGCATCAGCCGCGACAAAGTAGAAAAGCTTCTGATCTCCAATGGTGATTTCTTGGTCCGAGATTCCATCTCCCAGCCTGGGAACTATGTCCTGTCAGTGCGGTGGAGGAATGCCCCCATGCACTTTGTCATCAACAAGGTCATCCTGCAGGCTGACACGCCTTACGCCTCCATCCAGTACCAGTTTGAGCAGGAGTGCTTTGACTCTATCCCCTCGCTGATCCGCTTCTACATTGGCAATGCCCAGCCTGTCTCGCAGACCTCAGGGGCTGTCATCCAAAGGCCTGTCAACCGGTCAGTGCCACTGAGCTTCATCGATAGCAAGTACGCTGCCATCAACCGGTCTCAGGCCAGTGCCTACACCTACGGAGTCCTGCCGAGGCGGGTAGTGACCCCCCGGCAGGCCCTGGCCTGGCCACAGGACACTTTCCGGCAGCGGTCAGGCAGCCAGCCAGCCATCATCCGCAGTTCCATGGTAGACCCGACAGCGCTTGAGCGGTCAGAGAGCTCCCCGACCATCAACCGACCAATGAATGGCTTTGCGCTTCAGGCTCTGAGTGACAAGAGTGAACACCGCCCCTTGGGCAGGACAGGTAGTGAGCCTATTCTGGAGAAAGAGTCTCTGGACAAGGACTACGTCTACCCTGCCCCCGACGCCAGCTCCGTTGGGGACTTGACAGCACCTCCTCTACCCCCGTTCAAGAATAAGAAATCTTCCAGTGAGAATGTAACCAACGGAAATGCAGCTTTGCTCACAGAGACAGTCAGCGTCATGAATCGGAGCTTTGATCCACCGAGTATGTTCGTGATGGACCACGTCTACTCTGAAATCGATGAATACGATCAGTTACCAATTAGGTATTCCATACTCCATGACAAATCGGACCCCATACCCCCACCCCAGGAAGAGGAGAATGGTAATGAATTGGAGTCAGAGCTGAAAGAGAAGAAACGACACTCGGACACCCGAAACTCAGTGTTGGACACAGACTACTCCAAAGTAGCCGAAATTGATAAAAACATGGACAAAAAGCCGGGAAAACTTGTCACCCCCTTGCCCCAGTTGAATGAGCCCTCTTGCATTCATTTGGCAGACTTCTCTACGCCGTTGATGGGTAGCGAAAACAAGCCTCTGGAAGGGGCCATTTTAGCTGACGTGAAGCAGAGACTTTTGGACACAGATGCAGTCAATCTTGCCAAGCACATCACAAAGATCGATTTTGAGGTAACAGGAGAGCATTGTCGCAAGTTGTGTCCTAATACAGAAAATGTGATCTCAATTGTTTTCTCTGTCATGCAGGCTATCTGGAGCTCCATGAGCCCACCTGCTGTACATTCAAACATCAATATATAGATACACTGTACCATCTTTACGCATCTTTGATTTCACCAGATATTTAGGCCAAAGATATTTAAGTATCAGTAGTCCCCGGGCATGGAAAATTAAAAAAGGAGAGTCTTAGTGTGGACCTCAGAAACTCATGAAATTTTTTTGATATACATGTACATGTTCATGTATCAAATCTGTCATACTAAACACTCTTTTCGTGTGGACTTCCTGGTCAATTCAAACATGAGAAGATTTTCAGTAAATGTGGCAGTAGCAAATCTATGTGTCATGGACCATATTTTCTAATGGTTATGAGTCATTTCTCGTGTAGCCGGTCCTGCCTTGATCACATGACTTCACTACCACTCATCAAGGCCATAATTCCCCAAAATGAGGAAACTTGGGGTAGAAAATAATTACTAGCCTGCTCTTGCTGTGTGAATGGATTTTTTGTCACTGTCATGTTCTGAACAAAATCAGAGAATCAGTAAAACTCAAATCAGTCTTTTTATTACATGAAGTAGAAAACTTAACAAATAAACGAATTTTACTGTTCCTGAGTGGCAACTAAGCTGTTTCTGGAAGCATTTTGGAAAACTTTCCAACTGAAAACCTTTTTGGACCCTTGCCCTCAAAGTGGAGGCTTCAATTACATTGTACACATTGCCAGTTTTCACACTAAACTACATGTATAACAGTACGGAAGGAACAACTTGTTGGCTGTACTGATGGCTAAGAAACTGTTTCTCCTAACTGGATAGAGAATGGGCAAGTACTATCAAGCACTGACTAGTTCTGATTTTGTTGCTTCAGATGTGCCGGATTACAGAGACGTCCAGTAGGCAGCCTGGCCTGGAGGTCATCACCTTACCCCAGGGAGTGCAGATCAGGCAGGATCTGCTAGAGAGGTTGGTTTCGCTGTCATCTTCAGTTTTAATAAATACTGAAAGAGTTTCCCTCAGGCCCAACTTGCAGTTTTCCACCCCCTTCAAATCTGCAGCAGTTGCGCAAAGGGAACCACATGTTAACAGCAATGCACAGGATAAGTCTACCCATTCATGTCAGTGCGTATCATGCTTCAGTTCCCTATGTTGTGTGCTTCATTAAATTGCTCATGTCAACAATCCCGGAATAAATTCAGTTTTTGTTGTCTTCAAAACAGATTCATAGATTATCTGCTCGAAGCGGGAACAAAAGAGGGCATGTTTTGAAATGAAATTAACAGTCCTTTGGTACACCTGCACCACATAGGCATGCAAGTTTATGCGTGTTTCACGTGGGGCAGGCTGAATATGCACAACGAATTTAGTCTGGAATGTACAGTATGGTCTTCGCGTGCACACCGAACGCATGCAAGAACCCGGTTGGAAAACAAGCACCATCTGTCTTTCTTTTGCCGGCGAGGGTGCACTTCAGCTCAGGGCGGATATACAACAAAGGAATCAAAATTCGTTTGCAAAATGCATGACCTTGCTAACTTCTTCCATGGTTCTGTGCAGATTCTACCAGATCTGTTGCTTTGAATATCTCCACTTAACTGTCTCCTCTCTTGTTCACCAGATATCACTGCCTGAAGACGTGGTGCGCCGTCTGTGTGCTGACATGCACAGAGCCAGAGCAAAGGATCCGTATGCTCCATCAGTGGATACAGATAGCTGAAGCCCTGCGTGGATCCCTGGGTAACCTCTTCAGTTTCACCGCAGTCATGGATGGCCTCAGCTGCAAGCAGGTAAAGCTGCCGTTCAAATTTTTATTGGTTGGTTGGTTTTTTTCCCCTTTCAGCATTCTTAAATGTGGGTGTGTCCGTAGAAAGAACTCCCTCCCTTGAAAGATGAGAGATGAGAGCGATGGCTGAAAATATAGGAATGTTCCTTCCATTCATCAGAGCCATGTGCTTGAAGGGGTTATCAGCAGTCGCCAGTAGTCGTAGTTGTTGGAAGTTTGTTTTTGCTGAATGATAGCTATTGTGGAGACCCAAAATGTTGTTAGAACACTTTAGGCTGACAATCTGGTCCAAAGTTTGTTGACATAAGAATGTCATGCTTAACCACCCTGTGTGCAGACTTTTGTGAGAGCATTTGTTTCGTGTAAAGTATGAAGGGATGTCAATGGGTGTATCCTCTGTCCTTTGAAGAAATGTCCTCATCTTTTGTTGTTGGTTTTACCGCCCCACTAATATTTGTGTCAGCAGCTTTGGCCCAATATTGCATTTACATTGTATTCTGTTGAACTTGCAGTTGACACAGCTGAAGAAGTCATGGGAACTCCTGCGCTCCCTGCACACCAGTAGTGCTGTCAATTATGACACCAAGCTGCGGTCAGTACTCAAGTCCCTCAACAGTGGGGAGAATGCAATCCCACTGACCAAGACCAGCATCCCCCACATCATACCCGTCATGCAGCTCCTGGAGAGAGACTGGACTACACTGACGGCCACGGACTGGTCAGTGCCCGCCAGTGCTGAGACCCTGGAGGGCTTACCCCGGGGCGAGTCTTGGGAGGAGTCAGCCACTGGCTTTGGGCTAGACTCCCTGCTCAACCACCTGCAAAATGCCCACGCCTTCTGCCAGCAGGCCAACCTGTACCGCATCAATGCCAATTCCAAGCTGACCAAGTTCCTGCCGGACGAGGCACTCCTGGACACCTTCCGGCCTGAGTTCCACATGAGGTTGCTGTGGGGAAGCAAGGGGGCCACAGCTGGGACAGCCGAGCGGTACCAGAAGTTTGCCAAGATCCTCAGTGTCATGGCTGAGAAGATAGAACCCATTGGCCCAGGTGTGTGAAGATCAGCAGAAAACACAAACGGAGAGTCATTTTGCTGCAGTTCAGCACTTCACAAGTACTTAACAAGCCCTCACAAGTACATCACCGGTATTGGAGTCACAAGCTGTCCTTAATAAACTGTCGTAAAGAAAACCTTTTCTTGTGTTAGCAGTGACAGTGCTCAGGGAAGTACTTGCGATTATCAGTCACAAGTAGTTTTGAAGAACTCGACTACTTGTCAAGTCCTCAAATGCTTCCTAAATGAATGATGTTAATTTGGATTTGTGTTGAGGATGTTAATTTTATCCAGATCCATATGAAACAAACAGGCCCCTAGTAAGCTGGAAGTCATGGGTTCAAATCCTACCCAAGCAAGGTTGTAATTTTTTCACAACTGTCAGACCACACACACGCTGGTGTGAGGGCCAAAATCACCCGGTATAAAATACTTCACAAGTACTAGTGAAGTACTCAGCTGCGACAATGCAGGAAATATATAAAGTACTGTGTGTTGTCAATCTATAGGGGTCCACCTGTGAGAGCATGTTGCTTACATACAAAGCAGGTATCTCACACCCTCATTTGTCTTGAGGCAGAGCCTTTCTGCATCATTTTCTTCTCTTTTCTTTTGGTAAAATAAGCTCCCAGGAGCAAAATTCAGGTAGCCCTAAGCTGTTGCCTTTGCAACAAAATTCTCAGTTTCTCGTGAACTGTTTTCTGGGGTTTGATCAAGGTACGTGATATTGTGGTGCTTAACCCTAACCCCCTGAGGTGTATGTAAAATTGTATTAAAATTGGAGGTTTTGGGAGTGTTAGGGTTATATTTTGATCAAGGTAGAAAAGTACTCATTACTTATATTAGATAGAATCACTGCATGTTACATGCTCATGCCACTTTTCATGTCACAAAGCAATGGTACATTTGCCACCTTCAAAATGAGAGCAAATGAGGCTCATAAATTAGCCATTGTAGATAGGTCTGTAGTGTATGTATATCAGTGGAACGCATTGATGGAAGTATACTGTACATGTCATATGTATTATAATGTTTTAGACAGATTCTCATCAAAGTACTTAAATGAATGGCGGATTTATTTTTAGAAATCAACCAACCTGTTATTTCATGTAATGATTAAAATACAAGAATATCTTTGTAAAGATCCTTAAATTTTTAAATAATGGAATTAAAGCCTGAACAAACTGTCCCAGGATTATTTATAAGATCATAATTTCATTAAAGAAATATGCAAATATATGCGATTTTGCATTTTTTGTGATCACTTGTTATCGTATATCTGTTATATAAGATGTCAAAATTCCTTCAAGAAAGTTTTAGTGTCACAAAACATATGATGAAATCTGCTTGTGATAATAGAGATTTCAGTCGTTCACTTGGTGTCAGACTGTTCGTGTTGCAGTGTTTGTAACTTCTGGCCTGGATTTCTCGGAGCCTGTTTGATGAGACCAGAGGGGTTTTAGAGGCAAGCAAGTGATGTTTACGTGTACAATTTGCTCTCTGTGACAGCTATTAACATTCTTTGGTCTTGTTTCACGTACATGCAGACATCTGTTTAGCAGTCCAACACTTCCAGCAGTGGCAGCCCAGTAATCCCTAACAGCAGTCTCTGCTCGGATGAAAACCTTGTACATGTATGCACAGCTAATCTTGCTTTGAAACTCAAATAAGACATCCTGTATAAAGAGTTTATCCTCAAAAAAATTGACAGTTTACTATGCTTGTTTCATTCTCCTTTTGTTTGAGACAGCAGAAGTTAGACAATGCCCTCCAGGCACCCCAGTCAGCACACTCTGATGTCGTTGAGGGCTGTGAGGTCCTCCAACCTACTGGTTGGGTGGAGGACTGCACAGTCCCAGATGATGTCGTGGGCTGTTTGCTGTCCTGCTTCCAGGGTGCATGTGGCATCTATGCCTATGTCTATAGACATGTGGTAAGGGAGATATACTAGTAAATCTACTGCTGTGCATCTGTACACAGTAGGCATAGATGTAGCTCTTCACACAAACACATATTGGGCAATACCGATTAATGCAAAACACCAGTCTGTCTTTCTGTTGGATAAGAATCCATTCCGGCATTTAATAAATCAATTTGGCACATTCTGGCAATGGAAAGAATTATTTTGATGAAGTGAAAGACTGAATGTTGTTTTCCACAAGGTACTTTGTACTCATAAACATTCACAAATGTACATGTATTTGATCAAAACCATTATGTCTTTAGTGCATTTCAGGTTAAAAGAAAAAAAGTGGACCTGTGTGTGACAGAGTATTTTTCCTGTTGGCAAAATGTCATACATCATTTGCACTGTCAATCATACGTTCCCAAGAACTTCTTAAATTTGCTATATTTGGTGTGAAGTCTAGCACACAGTGGCCATTGACTCTGGCTTGGCCACAGAAAACAACATTTCATGCACAATGTGACTATAAAGACATCTGAAGATGTAGTGTTCAGTGCGAATGGTCAATTTGGAGCTGTTTTGCTACGATTCATAGAGTTCTGTGCATGGATGAGGAAAATGGTACCCTATGCTGGGGCTTTGTTTTGTGATTATTGTACAGATCCGTGAAACTGGAGTACTATCTTTGTGAGACTCTGGGATACTTTGAGATGACAGTTATCCTCAAAAGGAGAACAAATCGGAAAAAATGTACACAAATTGAATACTTGACCTTACTTTGACAAAAGAGTTGGGTGACCATTCTTTGGCACTTAATATCATCATTCAGAGCAGTGAGTGTGGAGAGGGAGAAGTGATCTGTGTTATGCACCTGTGAAGCCGTTCTCATCAATGTTTACCCTGAATAGTAACATGATCCTGAACGATCACATATGATGAAGCGTTGTAAATCATGGGAGCTATTGTAAATCACGTGAGCTATGCTGCATTCTGTCGCTGTGTCACATTTATTCAGCATTTGATCTTGTTTGTATGATTTTCATTGGAAATGTGCCGAGTTTAGGCCGATTCACGCTTCAGGCAAATGCAAAAGCGAAGGCAATTTGACATGAAAGCATTATGTTCTCTGTCATTAGAGGTTCGCATTTCTGTTCATTTTGGCACCAAGCGTGAACAGGCCTTTATTTTATGGACAGTCTTAGTTGCTTTTATTTAATGCAAACACAACTTGAAGTGCATTATGTTTTGATATTTTAGTGACTTTTCACTCCGTCTTCGTAAATTATTATCCTGACAAGTTATTTATTTAGATCTTGCAAAATAAGCTTGTATTTTTGTGTAAAATGAAATTTCTGTACAGTGGCTGGACATTTGATTGCACTGCTAGAAATCGGTAGAAAGAAGAAATCCAGGAATATGCAGAGAAGTACACTTCAAAAAGGGACCCAGATACTCTAGGGTTACTAGATTACATACTTGACTTAGCATATGTTATCACCTTGGTTTCCTGGTACACAGTTTGTAGCAGACATTGGAGCTGTGTTGACCTACAGGCTCTTGTGGTAGACTCATTTCAAGCCGGAAGCTGAAGATGCGGAATGAAGCTGAGCTCAGGAAAAGCCCCAAATGCACACATGAGTGGCGTTGAGTACAGGCTGCCTTGCCAAATAAAAAAACAAAGCCATAAGCCAGGTTAAAATTAATAGACTCATTTGACAGGAACTGCCCATGCTTGGTCCTTGACTTGCATTTGCCAGAGATGTATAAATTGAGTCAATCATAAGTCAAATGCCAAGTCGCAAGTATCAGTTCGCAAGTCTGAAAGGTACCTGAGAATTAATGATGTGAACAGATTTTAAAATAAGGAAAGCATATGGATATGAAACAAAGTGCCTTGTGATAACTTGATCATGGCTCTGGTGTGTGCATGGCAGACATCATGGGCAGTACCTGCTACTCCGCGTCTTCAGGAAATTACTATCGTAATATTATTAGCATAGCGTAGGGGATTGGTGGGTTACACAGATGATCCTCCGAACAATGTGCCTGCAAGAATGACTCACAGTTTCTTCAGTTGTGATTTGACTGTTTAAACCCTAAAAGGGTTATGTATTTCTAACTAGGCGATGCACCTCCAAAGATTCAAAGTGTGAGAAATATGTATGTGTTGTGAACTATGTTTGAATGAACCTGATCACTTGCACAATGTGCTGCTTTGATACATTATGTCCTATGCCAATAAAAACAAATTTAAATTATGAAATGTGTATTTATGTCGACTTATCATTTGTTACCCACTCCGTGAAAATGAGTCTTATGTCGCCAGATCCACTTTATGAGTTTTCATTGGTATTGGAAAGACCAAATTGAGCTTTTTGTTTTTATGTATCACTCAGTTTGGCATCCTGATGAAAGTGGATACTCCATGGTGAAAAATGCTGTGGTTTCCTATTGATTAACACAGTGGAAAATTATTCTAAAGGACTTTTTACTTCAAAGTGGCTCTGGCAACTTAAAGACTCATTTTCACAGAGTGGGTCACATTTTTCATGAGTATTTCATCATCACTGTAGTGTCCTGATGCACAACCTAATGCTCAACCTTCATGCTCAAGGCTGCATTGTTGAGTCAGTTTTTACAATATACATCTATCTGTTTCAGACCTTTCCTTGTGAAGCTACGTGTACATGTAAACCATATGTGTAAAGACTGGAATCAACTTAATCGTGCTTCCCATGCTCAGACAAGCTTGTATTGATCCCATTTTATTTTATTTTACTGCACAGCTTGCCCCAGAATAAGGTTGTAATTTTTTTTTGTGGGGAGGAGGCATAATAGGAGATGGA